TGTGTTGATGAGAAAACAAGTAGTGATATAGCTTTTTGCATATCGTAAAAGCAAACGATAAGATTATGCATAATGTAAAAAAGCTAAAATAGTTGCTTTGATTGACTGCATAAATGGAATTGTTTGAAAGTATGAAAGATATTTTATTTTATTTTGTATACTTTATGCACAAGAATAAATAAACGAAGCAAGGAGGAAACGAACGCAAAGTTTAAAAAAAATATTCGTCTGAAAAATCGCTCTATACAAGCTATCATCATCATATTTATGCTAATTACACACTTAACATTTATTACATATTCACATATTTGAAGATTTACATAGGTAGTGTAAGTGAAAAATTGTACTAAAGTTAGTAAACATTGACGTTTATTGAAATTGTTATAATAGTTATCGATGAACGTGAAGTGAAATTTGATAACTTACGTGAATTATTGAAAAAATTCGCAAAATAAAAGTTTATAATTATAAAAGGAAAATATTGCATTTAAACTATATCAGTAATATTGGGAAATTTTTGAATTATAAAAAAATATTAAATTAAATGAATATTAGCATGACATTATAAATTGTCATTTATTAATTCACAGCGACAAATTCTATTTGTTTGTTTCATTTTCGAGACTTGACAATGCTAGGGCATTGAATCTCTTGCCTGACAGTGATCATGACCTCTTTCTTCTTTTTGACCTTTAATAACTTCAGAAAAGCAAACATGTTCTGTCCCCTGATGTGATGCTCTACAAAAGTTGGTTTTTCTTCATTTTACGTAATGTAAAAAGTAAAAATTTTTGAACATTTGGCATAAAGCATCTGAAGTTTCTTCTGTATATGATTAAGGTAAATTAAGACTGCATCTATAATTCAATTAATTGAAAAATACAACAAAAATTGGGGAGAAAAGCAATGTGTACAAAAATTAAAGCAATGTTAGGATGGAGAAGTTGAAATGATTTGCTTAGAGTAATTTAAGTAATTTGCATAGTAGTCATTTATTACTTGTGAAAACTGACTGACTTCACAAGCAGTAACTTTTTTCAGACTATCAAATAAATTGACTGATTCTATTGAGGCGATTAAAGTTAAAAACAATCATGAAAACGATTGCTATACCCAAAATGTTCAGCTTAAACTGTCATACAAGCTGGAAATATGCATTACGACTGCTTCTGATTATGCAGTGAGCACAATTAATTTTAGAGTAGAAATATACATATGTTTAAGAAGTGTCAAGAATTCATCCAAATGAGTGAGGTTACCTATGCTAACTTCTTAAAAAGGGTGGGGCTGAGCCGGGGATCGATCCCGGGACCTCTCGCACCCTAAGCGAGAATCATACCACTAGACCACTCAGCCTCTAGGCGCGCGGAATCGATTATCTTATCAGAAATTTATTAATTTTAATTAATTATATGAAGCTAATAAAATGATCAGTCAAATTATCCCTCGATTCATTTGAGATTCTCGTAATTTGAGACTGAATCCATTTTGATGCATTCTTAAATAGTGAAATTCTACTTCCATAATGTGACGCTTTCATTTCAGAACCCCATTGACCGAGAAAGTATCTACAAAGATATCAGAATCTTTCAATTTGGTGTAGCATATAAATCCGTACTGATTCGTCAGGAATTGATTGTCTGTAATCAGTAAATTGGATTAGATCACTTTGATTGCATCATTCTGCAATAAAAAAATTTGCTTGATAGTTTATTTATATAATTGCTTTTATAATAAATTTTCAAAACATCAGTCATACTAATGAATTAAATTTTATTAATTTAAAACTAAATTCTAAATTATCAAGTTTGATATTCACAGTAATCCAAGTGAGATTAACTCATAGAATTATTAACGAAATTTTTTACAATATTTTTATCTCTTTCATTCTTAGAACTTTCATCAAGGTTTATTTTGCACTAATGTATATTTAATGAAAGAATATTCGTTCTTGAGAGGCTGTATTATGCAAAAGTGAAAAACTGTTATTAATTAAGATCAAAATTACACTGATTACTCTACTACGAGGTCAGCATTCGTCATCTTAAATCCTAGATCACACTTCCATTAATTATCCCACAAAGGTCACACTCTCATTCCTTTGCGTTGCATTTCATTTTTTGTCTACATTTTAAATTAGTGAGTACTTCAAATAAAAGTTTGCATAATTGTTAGTTTAAACTTGCTGAAGAAAACAATGTGTGTCAGAAATGCTTATTTTTAATTTTCTTCATGATTAACGATCAGTTTTTTTAATAAGAGGCAATAAACTAACGATATATTCACTGATATGAAGTGTGCGCTTTCAATTCATCGATTAATCCGTGTTGATTAAGAAAAGTAAGCAAAAGTAAGAAGCATTTCTCGAGAAACCTTCAGGTCACATTTCCTTCTTTCTTGAAGTAAGACGTATTGTGGCATTTACACATATTCGTGGATGGTATTAAATTATGAGCCAAAAAATGATCTTTTATGCGTGTTATTTTTTCCAGCTCACTCGTACTCATGTATTAGGTCATGTTTTTTTATTATACGTATTTTATATAGTGTGCTTTGTTTTTGGATTGCAAAATGAATCAACCGATCATATTGTGATCATAATTTTGCATTAATTTTATTGGTTTAGCGATAATACAGTAAGCTTAAATTCTTTAGATTCTTTAAATTCTTAATAATCGCGTGAAGATACTTTTTATACGTATATTTGCTAACACCACTTCTGCATCATGCTGAAAATGATGAAAAAATATCAGAAAGTTGATTGCAATTTGAAATCTAATTTCTAATTAATCAGTTTTTAAAGTGACTGCGTAAAAATCTGTGTCATTTCGTTTTGACAACTGCAGTAAACTAATCCATTATTTCTTACTTATATACTTACTTACTATACTTACTATATTCATTTATTATACTTACTTACTACACTTACTTTCTATACTTACTTTCTATATTTACTTTCTATACTTACTTTCTATACTTATTTACTTACTATACTTACTTACTCTATTACTTACTATATTTACTTACTTACCTGGTTCGTAAATAAATGCTGATAAATTACAATCTTGTTGGCAATTTACCTTAAGTTTTTTCTCTGTGGTAGTTTTTAATCATTATATTATTATTGCATTACAATATCTTTTTTTTCAAAACTTTTTGTTTTTCAATTAATTTTTTGAATAAACGAAAATTTAACTTTATTAATATTAGTCATTACTTATAACATAATTTATAAATTAACTTTTGAAATTATAATTTATTCATAGAATATAATTAAACTACTCGTAAAAATTATTCTTGTAACAATTAATAGGATTAGAAATTTGAATAATAATATTGTGAATTGTTATAATTGTTACTATTTTTGATTTCAGTTCAAAAGATTTTATTGCACTGCATACTGTAGTCAAAAACAACCAAACCAGACTCTTAATCGAAAGGTTTTACTGATTTTTTTTGTACTATTTAAGTTTATTTTTGCTTTTAGGTGTAATATTATGGTTTTTTAATCGAGTCTAGCTTTTTTGTTGTAGGTCAGGTTTTTTTTGGAGCTCTTGATTTTATCTAATTTTTGTTTTCATAAGTTTGTATTTTGGTTGTTTTTGCTTAAACTTGTGTGCATTCTTATGATATGGACAAGGTTATGCATTTAATTTTGGGTATTAAATTTGGTTCTGGATAAAGTAAGAAAAGGATTCTTACTTACTTTTAAAAAAATACAGTGAAAAGAAGCAAATCATTTTTTCAATTAATGTTTTGTAGATGTTATTTCTAAGTCTTAGAGAGAGCTAAAAATTTATCTCTTGAATTGAATTAATAGTAAAATAAGCAAAGGTAACTGAAATAAAAATAAAAACTAAAAAAACAAAAAAATTGTAAAAATGAACAGTTAGTTTTAAATTTTAAAAAATGTTATCCAAGCTCTTTTTTTTAACAACTTTTCTTGTTATTTTTTTCTCTTTTTTTAATTACACTTTTGACTGTATGGTTTTTATATTGACTGTAAATTCTTTTTTAAGATTACAAAAGGCTAAAATGCGATTTTACAATTTTTTTAATTGCTATTTTTTATCAATTCGAAAATAATTCTAAAATTTTATTTAAATTTAAAAATAATTTATTTTTAATTCAGTAAATAATTAGTACAAAGAATTTTTCAATGGTTTGTCTGCGAAAGCGTAATTTACACTTAACTACTGAATTGAGTAACTAACTTATTGCCAACCTTTGACAGCTGACACACTGCTAGTAGTAGTAGTAGTAGACTTTTTTTTGCTTAGACTAAATTTACTTTAATTGCTAAGTACACTGGTTTTTGGTTTTTTTTTCAAATAAAAACTTGAAAATTATACCGATAATTTTACAATTTTAATAACAACATTTACTTACACTCTTCGCATTGCAATGAAGCAAATTGCAATTTTGACTTGCGCACTTATTTTGTGATAGTTTTTTTGATAAATTAAATAATTAAATCTGCTCTTATTTTATTGCTAACAAAATGAATGCAAACTCAAATTTATTTATTTTTTAACTTATCTTTTAACTGTATATAAATTTGTATTAGTATTAGTCGTGAGGTTAGATTATTGATTGATCAGAAAGATTATTATTGATATGAAAAATATTAGAGTATATAATTAAGAGATTGTAAAGAGAAATAGTTCATTGCATATGCTAATAAATATCGTTATATAACCTCATTCTGCAAATTCGTTTACTATTTGTATTTGCAAAATTTTATGAAAGACAATTTTTTAAATTTCTTTTTTATTTATTGATTAAAGTTATCAATTTTGTGCCCAAATTGTCTCAATAATATTTGTTTATAAATTGCAATAAAAACTGTTTACGTAAATTGTAGACTCTGCGCTTTCAATCAATGATTATTTTTATTTTGTTTATTGCTTGCAAATGCTTAGCTTTTACTACACGAAATCATAATTCTTTTTATAAATAGATTTTGAATATTATTTCAGCTGATTGATTAATAATTAAAAATGAAAGTATTGATTGTTTTGCTGCTTTTGGTAGTTTATACAAACGCATTTGGAATCATAGGACGAACACAAAGTGCTGCAGTAAAAGGGATTCTGATGTGTAACAATAAACCTGCTAGCAATGTCAAAGTGAAGTTATATGATGACGATAGAGGTATGTATATCAGTGATCTAATTTTCATCAAATCATTTCATATGATTTTTATTAGCTATCCTTTTACTTTTCTTTTAATACTATATCATTTAGTTCATTTCCATTTTAGGAATTCAAGAAATGCATACAAAATTTTCATCAATTCAAAATTAATTATTTTATATTATTCAAGTTCATCTTTCAAATTCTGAACGAAATTTATAATATGCTTATATGTTTCGTTCAAAATTCGAAAAATAAACTTAAATAATCAAAGATAATTAATTCGTTGACTATACAATAAATTTTGTTAATTTTTTGTTCGAATTTTTTAATAGCATTTTGCTTAATTATAAAAAATTCGATTAAAAAAACTGTAAGAAACGTTAATGTTAATAAAAATCAAATTTTACTAATTATCAATTAGCAAGTTTAATATATTAGCATGTCAGATATTTTTAAGGCAAAGTTTCAATTCTTATTATATTATATTATATTATATCAATAAGATATTTTTTTAAATATATTAACAAAATTCAAATGACTTATTTTTACATGACTAGTCGGCATGGATGAACTGCTGGCACAAGGCAAAACTGATTCTCAAGGGTTTTTCCAACTTCAAGGCTCTACAAAGGAAATCACCACAATTGATCCCAAAGTTAATGTTTATCATGACTGTGAGGACGAGTTCAAGGTAAGTTGTTTATTTTATGATTCTTTGTTCATTAAAGAAACTTGTTCTTAAGTAAAGAAATAGCAGTAAAAGATGTCTAAAAAATTAAAATCAAAATTTCAAAAGACAACTTTTCTGAGAGAAATTTAGGATTTGGACGTATTACGAATAAGAATTCGTGATTTAACCTTCATATATTAAAATATTGTGTTGAATATAACTATAAAAATTTTTACTCATTCTTTAAACTTTTCCTTATGAAACTCTCTATCTTTCATATTTTTAGCCCTGCCAGCGTAAAATTACAATTTACATACCAGACGCGTATATATCATCTGGAAAAAATCCCAAAAGAATCTATGATGCAGGAACAATCCAATTAGCTGGCAAATTCAAGGGTGAAACTCGAGACTGCATCAATTAATCTTATCAGATTGCTAATCAGCAAGTCAAATTAATTAGATCTTATTTTTGCTCATAATTAACCGCATAAGTGTGAAAATTATGCCTGAATTTCACTTTAATTTTTACTTTTGTAAAAAATGTTTATATAAATAATATGTGTAATCTATTGATTAAAACCATACTTTGTGAATTTAATTAAAACTTTTCCATATTTAATTTTGTTCCGTCTATAAAAATTGTAGCAAATAAATTGTCACACGTAAAAATTACAAAATCTAAAGCAGTGAAATATAAAAATTAATATAGTACTTAAATAGTAAAACAATTAATCCATCTACGTAATGAACCAAATATTGCAAAAGATCGAACTTACTGCCTGAATCTTAGTTATTTAAAAAAAGTTAGAATAGATGGGGTTGATGAATATTTTTGTGGGACAATAACTATTTATCGCTTTTTACCAAATTGTTTTCCTCCAACGTCAACTAACATCGATAGCAGAAGAAGAGATTCTACTCAACAACTGCATGTGAAAAAAGCAGTAAACATTTGAACTCGAAAACATTACAAGAGGGTATGCTAACTTAAGGCATATATATTTGTACACAAAACTATTAAGTGCTATATTCAATCACTCATTCATTCATTCACTCGTTCATTCATTCACTCATTCATTGATTTCCTGACATAAATTTAAAAGTTCCACAAAAATACTTACAAGTTGAAATGAAAATACATGCTGTTAAATATATAATAGAAATATATGATTTCTATATCAGTACACTTTTAATTATGTGGGCAAGATAGATTTTTGCCTATTGTTCATCAGATTTTTTCAATGCTATTTCTTTTTAGAATTGATAATTTCTCCCAAAATCTGACGAAATAAAGCGCTTAAATTACTTTAGCAAACTTCTTAGTTTCTTCTTTTTATTAAGATTCAATGAGCGATTTCATCAGCAAAAATTTCTACATTTACCATCAAAAATATTAATGATTACAAGCAATATTCAACTGCATGTTTGCGTTAAAAATACTAATTAAAAGTTAAGAATATATAAAATGAAATAGAAGCAGCAATATGTTATAAACTAAAATAAGAAAGTGGTATACATTAATAAAATCTCATATTTATTAAAAACAAGCACTTTAGAATCCAAAAGTTAGAGAATTTTACTAGCTTTTGACACTTCTGCAGATTAACCGTTTTGAATTATGATCGCTGAAACGGAAATCAACATAAAAGTCGACTACAATATGATATTACTTAGAAGACAAAACAAAAAAGTGCTTGTTGATAACTTCATTAGATATTCTTCCGTTTTTAATCACAGTACCCTATTTTCCTCTTCTAACAATTTACAAACATATGTTATCGTTTGTAGATACTGGAACTGAAGCAATGGTAGTGCCTGACGATCCATCTGTAGATGCGTTTGCATTTCTAAACTCTTCAAATTACCATCTCCCACAGGTTTTTGATCTTTATCAAAAATGTCATCTTGCTTTTCAAGCAAAGTTGTCCAATCTGATAATCGTTTCTGCAAAGCAAGCCTCTTGCGCTTTTATCAAATCCATAATTTCCTTATAACATAAAAATTTCAAAATTAGTAACAAAAAAAGATCAAATTAGTTTACTTAACACAAAATGCATCTGTAGATGCATTTTGTGTTAAGTACAGATGCAATTTACAAATTTATGTCCCCTAAAATTGCTGCCTGGAAAAACGAAATTTCTACAGTGAGTTGGATCTCAATACCATTCATTCATTTGAAACAACAATTTTCTCACTTCATCTCGATAGAAATTTCATGACTATTTAATACAACTTGAACTATATCATAAATCCTCCTAATTTCATACTGTACGAAGTTTATAAGTTTGTAAAATCTTGAGCTTTTGAGCACAAAAATTTTTAAATAAATTTTATCACACAGCATATTAACAGCTTCTTGTTTTTTTTTTTTCAAAAAAAATTATACATCCAAAAAAGTTTTAAAAAAACTACCTGAAAAGGCTGCAAAAAACGATAGTAAACATTTGATATAATTTCTGGCTTCATTCTGCGAAGACATTGTTCTTGAGCAAGCACAAAAGCAGAAAGATAAAAATGTAATCCATCACTGAGAGAAGAGTAATGTTTCGTGATTATATCATTCCAAAAATATCCCAGTTCCTTTATAAAAGCTTCTTGAGTCATATTAAACCGATATAAATCGACGATCCACGCCAGAATTTGCGTTTTCAATTTTGGTCTGAAAGACAATTTTCGATCTTTACAAAGAATGGATTGAAAGAAAAAAGATAATAATTTAAAACTTTTTAAAAGCACGTTGATTTTTAATGAGGGCAATAAGTGACACTATAATTTTAAAGAAATATGCAAACCACAAAGTAATGGGATACACAAAAATATGCGCAAATGAAACTGACAAAATAATATAAAATTAACTTAAATTTTTGAAAAACATGTTTTCTTTGCCAAAATAATCTTGTATTCTGTCTTAAAAATACAATACAAACTTGATACAAAAATTAGCAGTAACTTACTGTTCGTCACTTTTATTTTTATCATTCCTGAAAATGCAAAATGAAAATAAAGCAACAATACCAAAGAACAGGGAAAAAAGTAAATCATTACAATTAAAATATTTAACATATATGTTAAGGCTTTTTTGATGTGAAAAAGCGAATCATTTTAAGAATGCACAAAATAAAAAATCCATCACAGCTAACTTTAACGAATAAATTTTCAATGATATATTACACATTCCATCTCGCTTTTCTTTTTTAAATATAATTTATGTATGCTAAGAAATTCGCTAAACATTATACAAAAACTTACTGTGTTTCAAATTCGCTCATTTTTTTAAACAATGCTCGAATAATAAGTACTCGAGATTGAGACTCAAATTTGAACAAAAAAGTCCTTACTAAGTCGGCACACACCTCCCGCACATTGTGAAGATTCCATTCTTCACAGCATAATAATAAACTAGACAGAAAATCCTGAAAATAATGCAATGTTTAGAGAAGTTTCATTTAGCTTTCTCTGCAAATCATTTGTACATCCTATTTAAGAATTATAAACAACATTAAATTCTTTGAAACACTTTATCACAATTTAGTACTACATGATCACAATTAAGTACTACAGTTGTAGTTTTTTACAATAACTTTCCGATATCAAAAATTCATTTAATGAAATACATACCAAGAAAAATGCCAGTTGATCTCGTCCTACTGATCCATTTTTTACCAAGTGCAAAGAATGGCGCAAAACAAGAGCCACGTAACTTACATTAAACATATTTGAACTTGAAATATGAAGCGAATGCTGGAGCGCAGGGATAATAATTTTGAGACGATATTCAGGCATATACAGCAATGGAAAAGAACAAAACTTTGACCTCAAAATAAATTTAACAGAGCTATAAAACGATTGTTGCATCCCACTTTCAATTTCATTTGTACATTGCAGTTATTTTATTAAATGCATTAAAGTTTCACACGAACAAAAATAAATTTGGAATAAAAAACAAGCAGTCGAAATCTTACGTGATTCTGAAATGATAACTGAATCACAAATAATCATAAATAATTTTATCATTTATATACAATACTTACTTGAGAGAACTGACGACAGTAAGCGTATGAAGAGGTAGGTTCCGATTACATTTGTTATACAACAAATTTAATTTTTTGATAAATACTCCCATGTGAGTACTTGGGACGTACATGAACGGCAAAACCTTGTCAAGTAGCTCATCTAACAAATCACACCTTCTGCTCTTTGAAACACTAAATGCAAGAGCACAGAATTACTTAAAATAATTTAAAACTTCTATCTTTATAAAAGTCATTTATTCTGTCAAGAATGTTATTTACTTTGAACTGATGTATCATTAAGATTTGGACTGATTTGATATTACTTGCAACAGCACTGAAATCATTGCCAAAACTACTGTTACTTATCTAAAATTTAAAATCTGAACAAAAATTTGAAAAAAAAATTACGCAAAAATTTGAAAAAATTTGGGAATCGCAACTGTGATCACATATTCATTCAACGAACTCCATTTTCGCAAACGATTACTATCGCTAAAATAGTCAGTTTCCAATCTTGAGTAATATTTTGTGATAAACCTCACTTCCGGTTCATATTTTACCACAGTGTCTTTAAGTCGATCGATCCACAATGAGAGATAAGTATTTCTGAGATCGTTAGAGCAACTAAATATAAAACTGATACAGTACACATGAAAAATAAAACCAAAATACATAAGTAAGTACTCAGATGACTAGTCACATTTTTATGCAAAATTATCAAACTTCTAATTCCAATAATCATTAACATATAAAAATTGTTTGATCGAAAACTTACCATTCTGTGAGCAATTTTGAACAAAATAATTCTTCAAGAAATGATGCAAGCAAAAGAAATACATGCCATGAATAAACCCGATACGAACTTTCAAGTATAACTGAGTAACTAAATTTATAAAAAATCTCCTCCTGTTATCAGTACATAATTAAATAGTATGAATAATTATCAAAAAATATTTAAATTTAACAAATTAATTAACACAATAAATTATTTCCCACATAATCTACATAAAAACATTCTAAACAGAGCAAAAATTTGAAAAACTGATAAAAACTAACTCATCTTTGGTCCCGTAAGCATTTATCACCATTAACATTCCCTCATATTGTCTGCGAAGAACTTTGTCTTTTTCAGAAAGACTATCGCATTTGTCAATCACAATTTTAAACAGATCTCGATAAATCCTCTCCATACTTTTATCAGATACTTTTGCTACTACACAACGTACTTTTTTAAAATTTTTTTCTTCTATCAATTGGACAATATTTTCCAGAAGTTGCTTATCTGTCCAATCTTCAATGCCTTCAATAACTTCGCTGCAAAAAAATAAACTTGTTTTCCATGTTTCTAAATACAGTCAACTTTAAATACTTCCTAAATCACTTATAATAATCGTTACTCCATTTCTCTATTTTAAAGTTATGCAAAAGTTTACAAATTGTTTAAATGTCTGGATTAGGAATTAAAATATGATCTTTGTGTACTTTTTACAACTTATTCATCTTTCTTGCGATCAGTAATTATATTAAAAATTATACAACATTAAATTTTAGAATTAAAAATAAATATTGAAAACATAGTTGGTTTTATTTGCTTTCTGTTTCACTAATGATCTGAAGGCAATGTTGAATTTAACACAATTTTATTTACAACAAGTAGTGGAAATGGAAAAAAACATTCGTAAATACTCATGTCATTTGAATACGATAAACTTAAACATATATTTAGACTGATTTATTTGCATGCAGTTATTAAATATTATTTGTCTCCTGATGACAGCATAAATTCAGCTGGAAGTAAGAACCATTTTTTAAAGCACAAAATGTAAATAAAATTTTAAACTGTTATAAATACAACAATCTATCTATATATCCCATTCTTCCTAGTAAAGTATAATTTAAAAAAGGTTATGCAGAATGCATTGAATAATGCAATATCTAAAACGCTTATTATTAAAACATGGACAATTACTCAAGGTCACCATCATTTTTTTAATAATCACATAATAAATATCAAAAATAAATTGCCCATTTTCTCCACAGAATGCAGCAAAAATTATTTAGAAAAACTGTAATTTCTGTTTTCCATAAAATAATGCCAAAGAATATTATAAACAAATATATAACAGGGAGAGCATGTAAATTCTTTTTCGCTAACACTGCATTGATTATTGTTTTTTACGTAAATAAACAAAATGCTAGTATGAAAATGTAAAAAAATATTAAGTTAGAAACACAATAATGTAAATGTACACTTAGATTTAACGGCTAAATTACTTTTTAAATTTGAATTTTTCCCACAAAAATTAGTTCTCAAAGTTAAAATATTCAAAATGTTTGAAAATAAAATACCTTTCTAACATATTTATTTTATTCTGCTCTATCAATAACCCAACTCCATATACGTTTGTTATGTTAAAGCAAGTCTCTGGTTCTTCATCTTCAATAGCCTCATAATCCATTGCCTAATAGATAGAACTTCATTATCAGTAAATCCAAGTAAGTAACAACATTCAATCAATATTTGTTTCATATTAAGCCAGAGGCACCATAGATACGACAGGTTTGCGATCTGATAAAAAACTTCAGTAATATAAAACTTTTACAGCAGCCAAATCTTCTACTTTATACTGCAAATGTTTATATGAACAGCTTATTTCAGTCATGAATGTATTCAAGCTAGATCAAAGAGATAAAGCTTAACTTAGCTTTCAAATTTAAATAAACACAACATTTTCCTAAATAGAGGATCACAAAAATAAGTGAACACTTACTAAGTTAAAACATAAAATCTCTCCTCAACTCCCAAAATAAGCTGCTCATTTTTGATAAATTTGAAAGCCCAAATCATTGATAAAATTGAAATACGTACTGAAAAAATTCCAGACCAATCCAATTAAAATTAACATTGTCACATTAGTCTTACAACAATTAAGCACCAGTGATATCATGGAAGGTCCATAATGTTATAACTAGTAAATGTGTCAAACTAGACTACAGCAAAGAGAAATTTTATTTTCAATTACCATTCACACAAAAAGATCTTTTGAACAAGTAAAACATTTCTTGCACTTGACATGAAAAGATTCACCCAAAATGATCAGACTAAACATGACATCTTTACGACAAATTTTCACCGAAACCCAAATGAGACAAACAAAAAAAATACAAAAAAATGATACAGAATAAATTTAGTTATGCAAATATATATTCTGATGGATCAGTTGATTTACACTTCCAATTTTATTCTTCTTTGCAACTAGACTGGTAAATTAAAATCATTAAGTCGACACATTTCTTCAAAATATCATCCATATAGAGCAAATTCACATATACAGAAATCATGTACGTACGACAGACATCGCACTCATTCTCACATAATGCATATTTTGAAAACTGAAACAACTTTAAGCTAACGAAAGTGCTGGCGATGTTATTATAAATACAAGATAATTTACATAATTTAATGAGCCACAGTATTCTTTCAACTACACTGCTTCTGTACTCTCAGCAGAACGATATAATTATAATGCTAGCAAGTTTACAAGAATCGACAGTACACAATTAGATGAGAAACCCACACCAAAGAAAATTATATGAAAATCTTAGAACGAATTTTTAACAAAAAAATATTCATAAATAATATATGTTTTTGATAGCATTAATTTAGAAGGTGCTGAAAATGCAAACTGGTACAGTGAAAGTGCAGAGCGTTCAAATAATAAGATAGAAATATAAATTTGCCTAATATTTTAGATAATGCTCTTTTGATCCATCAATTGACAAAAAGGAAGATTTATTAGTTCAGCTCTCATCACTCTGGCCCTACATATATTTTTGATCTATATACAGAAAAATATACGGATTTTGAATTGATTCTGCAGTTCTAAACCCAGATTTCAATTCTGCGTAAAGATCAAAAATATTTGCTGAATTTCCAGATCTGCATTATTTTTATTTCATGGGCTTAGAACTGTAGAACCAATTCCAGAATCTACTTCTGTTCCTTCCGGTATTGCTACTTTTTGTACCACCTGTTTCCTCTTATAATGATCTTCTGTTTCTTTAAAAATTAATTGCTTGAGTGTTTCCTTTGGCAAATCATCATATTCGATTTCGTAAGTAAATGGTTCTTCGCAAATTGGCTTAAAATATATTTCAATGAAATTCTGAGGCTGTAAATTCAAAAATTCTTACAAGCAATTATATTACTTTGCAAGAAGAAAAATATTCATGATACAAACAGACTCATTTCCTGTACCACAGCTTTTGTCTTCTCATATCATAAAAGCTCGTTTATATGCGAATCTTCAAAAAAAGAGACTTAACAGCAAATAAATTGCAAAGATCAATACCTCATCATTTGGATCATAGTACTGTTCGAGATATGGATGTGCCAGAGCATCTTCGATACTAATTCGCTTATTGGGATTAAAAGTTAGCATCTTATCCAGTAAATCCAATGCACGCGGATCAGCATTTGGATACATTCGCAACCACGGTTGTTTTACTTTATGTGGCAATGAGAGCAAATATGACCGGGCCTACATTTCATAAAAACATATGAGCAGAATACAGATTTCAAAAATTATACTTACCGATTTTTGGTACTATACAACAAAACATGAAGTCAGTGACGTAAACATAATAGCAAGACCTTTTCGTTTATGATGCATTGTAAATCCTCCTGACTTGGTGACCCAATAACACCCAATATTAAATTCAACTGGTCTAAGTAATGCTTTCCAGGAAAAAGAGGTCTGTTGCTTAACATTTCCGCTAAAATACAACCAATAGACCAGACATCGATTGATTTCGTATAACCCTTCGAATTCAACATGATTTCCGGTGCTCGATACCACCTCAAAGTACAAAACGATAAGAATCAGTGATATAAATTATTGAAAGGAAATGTTTTTGATAATTTACAATTATTAACTAAATAAAAAGCGTAATAGAAAGAGTTGTTAAAGTGAGCAATCCAAAAACAATCATAATTGAATTAATGCTTCCAATAAATAATCAAAAACAAGTGTTCATTCCAGTTGCACTGGCTGCAATCCTACACATGAAACTGCACAAAAAATGTCTAACCTCGTTGCTACATATTCTGTGAGCACTCCGGTATGATCATGCCCTGGATCAGTCACTCGAGCAAGGCCAAAATCACAAATCTAAAACAAGCAGTGAAAAATTATTTGATTACAAAGCTTTAGGGTAGACATAAGTTTCGACAATTTGACTATTCTTTTTTACGTCACAAAAATTAACACAGAAGCCTGCTATGGATCATTAATCTCAACAATTTGATCCACACCACGAAAAATTGATTGTTATTATTTTTTTGCAAGATTCAAAAAGAACTTTGAGATCGCAAGTTGTATTCAGAAGTAAATTTGACGGTTTGAGATCACGATGAATAACATTTGCAGAATGAATATATTTCAATCCTCGCAATATCTGGTATAAAAAATAACAAATATGATCATTGGAAAGTCGTTGGGTTTTTAGCAACTTGTATAAATCCGTTTCCATTAAACACTGCACTATATAACTAAAATTTACACTAGTATAAAAAAATGGTAAGCCTAATCAAATGAATAAAAGTTATTTCTAATTTAAGACTAATTATATTCATCCTGTTTCCTTCATAACACATATAAGATAATGATACTTTTCTAGTTTTATTTTAAAAGCATATTTTTGGGTTCTGTTTCACTCCCATTATTTTGTGGAAGAAGAAAATATATTTATTATTAATATGCATATCTATAAATTATAGAAAAATTAACACACATATCTTTCATTTGTTCCACACTCGGTGCTCGAATTATTTCCTGAATATTGATAATCTGAAACGACTTCTATTGTAAAATAGATCTAGACCCTACAACAGCAATCATAAATTGGTCTGTTGTATTGTAGACTGTAGCGTAAATCATGTTTGCATGTAACAAAAAAATATATATTTTGATAATCGAGCATTCATGTTTTTTTAAATCTAATGTACGTTGATAGCTTGCAGTTTATGAAGGTCATAACTTCTGCATAAATATACCTTATTCAAGAAGGATTTGAGAAAATAGTTTTCATGATGACTTACAAGAATACTTTGCACTATTACAATATCTGCTCATATTGCAATTCACTATCACTACAAAAGTTCTAAACTTTAAAATACACTCACACAAATATTTGACGGTATAATATTTCACACACAGAAGTTAGATGATTGGGCCCTTAACTTACATTTTCGTGCTTAAACTTCGTCAAAATTTTAATTTCTCGCAATGTCCTCTGGCAAAATGTTTGATGTTCAAAAGGTGAAATTTTCTTAATAGCCACACGTTCATGTGTTTCTGTGTCCATAGCTGACCTACATGAATATTTCTCCAACAAACATTTATGCACAAATACTTTTACCATACTGCTTTAAACTGCGAAAACTACAGTTTTCATCAAAAGTTAATATGGAGAATAAAGGCTAATGATAATAAGTAAGATTAAAACCAATTAAGATAATATGCATCTAAGATAAAAACTTACACCACCATTCCATATGCACCTTCTCCAATGTATGAAAGATTGACGTAACGCGGACCAACTTCAAATATTTGTCCGTGCACTTCTTCCACACCATTTTTGGTTTGCACTTCTATGAAAGTTGTCATCTACAAATAAAATGCGTAGAACAGTGGATAGTAATTTAAGAATCTTAAACTTGCTGAAAAGTAACTTTTACTAATTACGGATTTTCGTGTTTTCAACTTATGGCGCACAACTTCTTTGCTCTATATTATCCTTGAAATACCAACGTTTTATTAGGTTTTTAAAATCACTTTGAAATAATATTTTGACACGAATGATGTGAATGTTATCAAAATTTTCACTTTACACTATGTACATTGCATTGCTACTGAATACTTCTGCAGCAAATAACTGCCACATATAAATATTACTATGAATTTTAATTCCTTTCACATTTAAGTGAAAATTTGATAACAATCACATCATTCATATTAAAATATTATATTTTTAATATTCAATCTGGAGAAGAATCAGTACAAGCAGCACATCTTTGAACAGGAATATAATAGAGCAAAAAATTAATTTCAATTAAAAGTGACAATGGTCAGTGCTATAAGGAGGTCGCCACTATAACTTATCACAACTTTTTGTACTTCTTTAGGAAAAAATGTGCATAAAGGAAAAGTAAAACTAATAAAACTAACTCAATAAGAGAGGAAAGTATCTGTTTCGCTAAATATTTCAATCTTAATAATGAGATTTAATTTTTATAGAAGGAGGAAATCAGTCTAAAGTGAATGAAGAAATTATATTATGCATCGCTTAAAGATGCAATACGTATATGCCTCAGAAAATGATTGACTTCGCGAAAAGTACTAATTCTTCCTCTTTTTTTCCAATATTAGTAAAGTAAGTTACTCGGGTGACAGCTTTTTATTTTAGTAGCATGGACTGATAATTGGGTTGATAGAAAGTTCAAGAATCAAACAATGTTTACAAGATCTTTACTGTTTAGGTAAGTATTGCGGATCTCGATAAAGATAATTCACCAAGTTAAGCTAATAAAATTGCTCAAATCAGCAACAATGATAAATCCACTAATGAAATGTTAACATACCATTAAACCAGATTTAATCGTAGTGCAAAGAAATGTCTACTGTTTACTGCCTGAAAAATAAAAACATGTAAAAAATGTAGCGTTTTATGAATTTTGATTCCAAAATAGAGAAAATTCATAAATGTATTGTCGTAAAGCTCATGAATAAACAAAGCTCATGAATTGCACTTTGCATATTTTTACTACTTCCACAGAGTAATGAAATGGAAAAAGGAAACAACATGTCATCAAGTCAAGTGATGCGCTATGATATGGTATATACTGAATTGTAGTATAATATAGTGGCGCAGTCGTACTAAGCAGATTTAATATGAGTGCATCTGCAGAATTTTTCAATAACTATGAAAATTTTTCTATCCCACAAGGAAATAAATTAAAAACTATTTTTACACAATTTCCAGTACATTTTTTTCTTTAGCCATCAAGTGAAAACACACACTGAAAAATCGGCATTATTCCTTGAGTATTGCTCTAAATCTCAACTTCCAAACATCACAAACTAGTTTAAGCAGAGCTAAGAGCAAATAACCAAGTGCAAATACGCATTTATTTACAAGGTAATAATCAGTAATTTCCTTACCAATAATCTTAAATCGTAAGAACATTTTGCATTGCTTAGAACATGGAAAAAGAGGTAAAAATGTACCAATCATTAATTCTCTTCAGCTAAATTTCATCAAAAATACATTTTGTATTTAAAATCATGCAAAAATCAACAAATCTCCATTTATAAGCACACCAAAATAAATGAGGCTAATTAGAAAAAAAAATTTCTTAGTTAACATTGTAATCTATATATAATTTATACAACTGTACTGCTAACTAAGAAATTCTTGAATATTAACGAGTAATTTATCAAATAACACAAAGAATGAAACATTTGTATTTTCCACTACAAAAATAATGTTTTCCACTACAAAAATAATGTATTTTCCACTACAAAAATAATGTTGAAAAGAAAATGAAAAATATATTTTAGTAATTATAATAATCATAATCATGACAATAAATAATAGTACACGCTTATATCACATAACAGCTTATAGCTCATTACAACATCTTTTTCTCAAGTTTTGATTTGTCAAAGTAATTTATAAATGCACAGTTTAATAAGATAAATGCTTTAGTAATGAAAAAAGATATAAATATTACTTAGTCTTCCAATATGTCTTATAACGCATGCAATATAAATTTCAAACAGACCTTTCAAACCATTAAAAGAATTAACGAAATAGAATTAATTTGAATTTACTGATTCGAACATCCTTGTAAATGTTAGTTTTTCGAAATTAGCTTCAAATTGTGCCCTAGATGAAAGCTCACTACTCTGCATTTGTTACATTTTGCATTCATTAGCCAATTTGAAAATTTTCATTTCTTTCCCATTCCTTTCAAATATTTTCGTACAAATAGAAATTTACACATTTACAAAACTTTTAAATGTAATATATTTTTATTCCTTCCTCTATAATTTCTAATTTCTTCCAGTAAACACTTACCACTCTCAACATTTTAACAATTATTCTTATTATTTATTACTTGGAAGATAATTTAAGCCATTGCTACTAAAACTACATTTTCAATCAAAAACAAATTATTTTCCTTTAGCAGTCAGCTCGATTAGTACACATGGGATTGCAAAACTTTTCCTCTACACGTTATATGACAAAAAACAAATACAAAGTTTGTGAGCAGAACCATGCAAAAAACATACCTCGCTGTTAGCTAGTGTTTGTCAACTCTGAAGATGACAAGTGCCTGTGATTGTCCTCGTTCTCCAGTTTTGTCGTACCTAATTCTTGTTATTTTTGAAGTCTTAGTTCAAATTTCTGCAAAATTCAGACGTGTTTTAGTCCAATCATCGGAGATTAATGTAAGATTCACGACACAGAAAATGAATACAAAGATTACAAAACAACATTATTAATAGCTACTGACTATCTTTAAAGTAATATTGAAAGAAACAAAATCTTTCTACTAAATCACTTATTGCACTATGTTCTATTAAGAGATCTAGAAATACCGTAAGTAATAACTGATGACCGAATAATACCTTTGAGCATTGTATTTATTTTATGAATATAATTCTTAATTTTCAATTTGAAAAATTATTGTAGCTATTAAAGGCAGAACAGAATAGTAATAAAAAAAAGTAAAAATGAAAAAACTGCACGTAACAAATAATAAAATGTAATATTAATTTTACTCAACGATCCGTGTTTCACACAAAGATCAATCTCAATTTTTAAAATTTAATGTGCTAATTCTAACTACTTCCGATGTCGTACAAAAAACAACTGATATGAGCATATGATACACATAAACGTTGATCCACACAACAATGATATACTTTCACAAACGTGTAAGACAAGTTTTAAAAGTCCTTGAAAAAAAATGTAATGAATAATTTTAAATGCTGTTGAACAATAAAAGGAAAGATTCAGTTGTTGAGCATACTTAAGATCATCACTACTAGCACGGATTTATAACACGAGTTCTGTAACAAGTCACAAAGATTGTTTCCATATTTTACAAGAGAAAAAATCAACAGTATCACTACTATCAAAAATTTTTATGTCTTTCCATCTACTCGTTCCAATTTTATGCTAGCTGCTGCTTGATGTGTTTTCCATTTCATGCTAACTATTAATGGGACTTTCTAAGCAAGTAAAATCGCATTACCATATATAAACATTCAAATAGATTCATCCAAAACATATCATTTTCAACATAATAAAAACCCGTGAAATACAAGCGTCTACAATATTATCAATAAGAAATACAAAAAGTTTCTCTCAAATATTATTTTTCCAAATGATATCAATCTTTCGCTGATGTTCAAGGAGGAATTAAAAATATCGACCGGAAACGGGATAAACTGAGAAAAAAATATGGATATTGTCAACAAATATAAAAACCTATATCATGGTTGTAGATTGAATTTCCTAGAAATAACAGGAAGTGAATATTAACAACACAAATATGGCCTTACCAAATTAATTTAATATTTCAGTGTATTGAAAATCGAATATTACTGCTAGAATAGGGTCAAATGAATAAACGAATATTTTAATTGAAACTTCGGCACTAACAAAATCCATTAAGCAAAAATTATTTCTACATGTTAATTAGCAAACGCTGGAGAAGAACACGTATTCAAAAAGCTAGTCAGTAAAAAAAACTTCTCACAAAATGAAAGCAGTCCAGTTTTTTTGGTAATTATATTGCTCTGTCAGGAACTTTTCGCAACATCAAATAGCTCCAAACTACAATGAAAAAAGCTCAAAATAATTAAACAAACGACAAAATGCGAAAATAAAATGTAAAGAAAAGTTTCTGCTATCAGATACACTTCTTGCTCAACTAAGCATAGTCAAATGATAAGAAACGAAGAAATTGACACCTTCCATGTTTTGAACTACTCAAAATTTCAAGCTACTGTACGCTCTTAATTCAATAGTTAGATAATATTGCTGAAATGAAAACAGCTTAAAAATAATTACATTCGAACACATACATCAATGTAACTATAAAACAAATATAAGAAAATAAGCACTCAATCAAATATTTGATATAGATAAATTTTCTAATAAAACGCAGCACATTTTATTTTTTGGAGAGTGCTTAATGGAGAGTGCTCCTAAAGTCTCAAAATTTTTTGTCTCGATAAAGCATCCTTTTTAATTAACAATAAATCGTTTACGTACCAAATTTTACCGCTTCCTACGTAAACTTTATACTATCTTAAAAAGAAACCCACAGATCAATTTCACTTTACAGTACTTTCAAAAGTTTCATAAACAAATTAATCTTGCAGCAAACAGACTGAAAGTTATAAAGTCAATTCTAAGGCATTCCTCAAAAAATAAGAATGTGATTCATAAAACAATGCATTTTAATGATTCTTGAATTTAGAGGTAAGCATGAATTAAAAGAATAGAATTAATGAGCAGCAAAAAAAGTCTTTAGTTTTTACATTGAGAATAAAAATGACCGACTTAAGAAGGCAAATGTAACTATGTTCTG